TAGATGTGTTTGTAATTCTTACAATTTCCTTACGAAAAATCGTGTTGCGCCACGATTTTCACCTTTACCAAATTGCTGAGACTAGTCTGAATCAAAATTAACTGCTACCTTCACGTGAGAAAAACGATAAAAAATCAACATTATGTGTATGCACTAAACACGATCAGTATATCTACATTCAATCACGCTTACAACGAATTACACACATAATATATGCATTACATGTGTGTGTGTTTTATATACATGACCATATATATCCATACATACATACACACAAGTGTGTATATATATATATGTATATATATATATATATGTGTGTGTGTGTGTGTATGTGTGTATATATATATATGTATATATGGGGGTGAACATAAACACAGTAATGGTGTCCACAAAGATACATTTTTATAAATGTATATAAGTATGTGTATATGTATACATATATACTATATATAAATAAATACACACATGTAATATATAAACATATATATGTATGTGTATATGTATATATATTCCGACGTATGTATGTATACGTATGTGTATATACTCAAAAAGATAGACGCACCCACAAACAGATTGAGTGTGTGTGTGTGTGTGAATATGTGTGCGTGTTTTATCCGTTGATAGAACAGTAGAAACTGTGAGTGAAATCAGTATGCTAGATGAAAATGAGAAATTCTTCGACGGAGGCTGGTGAATAACCCGAAGGAAGACCACTAAAGAATATATGTAGACTTATAGTTCAGTGAAAAAAGGGCTTCACAGAGGGATCAATAGGCTTTCTTTACTTTTCTCTCGTTGAAAATGTCAGCTATGTACGCCAAAATAAAGTTGTAACTTAGTTGCTGCAGGAAATAAACACTAGCGAGGTAAAATCATGTGCACTGCATCGTGCATGTGCATGTCTGTGTATATGTACAGGAAAGCACACACACACACATGCATGTGTGTGTGTGTGCATGTACATGTACACATGTATTTCTATTGAGAGATGAAATGGATTTTTTTTTTGTAAATCATAATGCTGAAATTAATATACGGATTTATACACACATACAAACATGCATGTATAGTATGTCAGTCATGGAACGAATAAATGAAGAATCATGTTTCTCCAAACTCTGGTCAAATTAGGGAGAAGAGGAAGAAGAGAACACCCAAATAGCAGAGAGAGATGTGATTGCGTGCAGGAGATTTTACGTGCTGGATGTGTTTGCGTAGTCCATCGTGCATACGTCATCTGACTCGTGCAGACACCTCGACTCCGCAAATCAGACGTTCTGGTCGATTTAGACCGGGTAACACCGGTAGCAGGAAAAGGTGAACGGACACATAAAAAGAAAAACAGGTAAACGAGCAAAAAAAAAAAAAAAAAAAAAAAATATATATATTATATATATATATATATATATATATATATATATATATATATATATATACATACATAATGAATTATGGAGAACGAGAAAACAATTATCATGTTTGTCTGTACAGACACACACAATATTTATACTATATATATACACAAACGCAAGTATGTATGTATGTAAATGTATATTTATATGCATATATGTGCGTACACACGCACACACACACATATAAAGATACATTCAATATATACATATATATTGTACGTACATACATACCTATATACATACATACATACATGCACGCACACACATATATATGTGTATATGTACATATATATGTGTATGTATATATGTACGTATTTCTATGTATGTATATATGTATGATGTATATGCATATGTATAGGTATAGGTATAGATATGTCCATTTGTACACACGCAAATATATATATAAGCATATGAAAATGTGCGCGTGTGTGTGTGCATATCAGATTTTTCTGTTAATTTTCGTGCACAGCAAACTTGATGCTGTACTAAAATATCGTTAAGATATGGCACTGATGTATTCTATCAAAGTGGCTCTTCATTGTATTAAATTGAATAATACAACAACAAAAAATTAAGAATTAAAGGATAAGCATGACCCGTAGAATATAATTGGAAATAATAAATATTTGTATTTCACTTTATTGGTGAAGAATTACTAATACATTTTTGAATCGTCATAAAACAATATTTGATTAATAAAATCATCCCAGTGATACATCAGATGCCAACAGTAATGATAACGAGCACAGAAGATCATAATTTAAATGAATATCAATAGCAGGAGTAATAGTTCTCTCAGTATATGAAGCTACTATTAGTAACAGTAACAAATATAACTGACAAAAACACAGGACCAATATAAAATTGACAGCAATAAACGTAATGATGACGATAGAATCATTGATAATGGCCGTGGTATTAGCAATCAAAATTACGTTAAAAATATTGGCTTGTCGACGGCTAGTTGTGTCGACTACATAATGTTAACAATCATGTTAACATTTATTCAGTTATTCTTTTAAGAAAGTACTGCATAATATCATATATACCATAATAAACTCTAGGAATAGCTATAATCTATAATCTGCCATAAAGTTCCATATTCTCTAAACTGAAGCAACTGAAATCACTCTTTTTGTTTCTGCCATGTTGTAACTCATACAGTATGTATGTGGTGACTAGTGGTATAATATTGATATAGCTATGATATTTTGGTTGTTCTTATTTTTGGAAGTTCAGCATGATTGTCCTGCACATCAGTGTTTCACTATTCCTGTACTATTAAAAAGAATATGACATAGTACAAAGGTGACTATAAGATATCGGAAAGTTTGTACAATGTAATCATATTCCATTAGAACATCCATCGTAATATTATTAAGTTGCTTAAATATCCAAAAATACTTAACACTAATGATGTGGTCGAACGTTAACATGATGTATATTCCATGCCGGTATCCTAATATTTCATTCTGAGAAGATACTGCATTTATTATTTTTGCCGATCGTATGAGTGTTGGTAAAGATTACGAAGCTCAGTCTCTCAGTGGGTGTCCCTGCTTAGATACTTTGTCCTGCGTGGTGTTGCTATCACTTTGTAAAAGTATTTAATGGCTGTGATGACCCAATAAAAAAAAGAAGTATTAGTATCAGATAGGCACTTATCTTACGAAATTTTCAATAATTGTGCAATACCGTGCACAAGACCGTAGGTGGTGTGTGGATCAGAGTATGTAACGTATTCAGATGTATAAACCTTGGCAAATGTATATTAGGTCTTTTTCCTCTAGAATATGTAAGGCTTGTATGTATGCTGACCTGTCTGTAGTATTACAAAAAGATGTTACATGTGTAAAATATGATGCAAGTGTGATGCATCTAATGCCAGAAGGTGCGTGTTCGGTATGACCTGCAGTAGGTCCACAGCGCACCCTCTCTCTCCCGCTCCTACCAGCTCTCTGCTGAAGCTGCTTCGTGGGACCTCTCATGTCCCTCCTTGCCCCCCTCTACCCCCTCACCCCACCTCCTCTCACACCCTCCCCCACCATTCGCGTACTTCGCCCCGCCCCCTCACCCTCCTACCCTCACTCTATTTTTTTTATGCTCTATCCCGTTTTCATTTGCTTGTTTTTCTTTCCCGCCTTGTTTCCCTTGTTTCTCTTATAAATCTTCGACGTTACATTGTAAGATATTCAATATATTTGAAAATTGTTTTCGTTACTTACCAAGGCCATCTATGGAAAAAAAAGAATATCGACAGCTTATCATTAAATCATAAATAACTACTATATCTAATTTAATACTATATTACGTGTAAGAAAATCATGTTGACTTATCATTGCTCAACATAAATGTATAAAAACATCAACATGGGAGACTTATTTGTATTCAGTAATCAATTATGAACTAAGAATACTTAACTGTGACAGCATGTTAAGTATTGTTACGAAAAATAAATAAAAAGAGGAAAAAGTGTAAATCTTTTTAAACTTTGATTAGGTTAAGATGCGATGACTCATATCGACGCGTGTGGTGTGTGCGTGTGGTGTGTGTGTGTGTGGTGTGTGCGTGTGCGTGTGCATGCGCGTGCGTGCGTGCGTGTGCGTGTGTGTGTGCGTGTGTGTGTGTGTGTGTGTGCATACATATATATATGTACATACATAAATACATACAGACACATGTATGTGTGTAAATATACATATATACACACACATATACATATATATGTGCATTTTCAAATACTTACGCACACACACGTGTGTGTTAAAAAAAAAAATACACATATTATACATGGGGTGATTTTTTCGAGTCTGACGCCAAGTCCTAGTTAACAGTTAAATAATCACCGCTTAATAGATACTTTATCTGTACATTATACTGCAGTCAGAACAAATAAACTCAGCCACCAGCTTGAGCAGTCCTCCCTCAGTCACCAAGTCACAAAGAATTGTAGTCACGATAAGGAAACTGCAACACTCACCACTCTACCCCCTTGTCCCTGTCACCAACACCAGTCACCAACAACAAACCACCGACGTCCCAGCCCCAATTCACAAAAAGGTCGCACTTCTAAAAATAGCAGCGTTAACGTAAACTGAAGGGATCGAAATTATTTCAAATTAATTCGTCTGAGACAGAAGAGGGAGGACCACGTGGTATGGCCGAGGTAACCGTCAATAGATCGAAAGCATGTGCGTGTGTAAGGATGAACGTGCATCAGATGAACGACAAGAATTATTTTTTCTCTATTGTGAAACCATTTTCCCTGTCTTACAGAACGAAAAAGGATAAGTTCTATGGTAAATAGGGAAGCATACCTTTTATGTGATGATTCCCCATGGGCAGGTAGCAACCTTACCAAAAGCGACACCCCGTAACCACGCCCACAGGGAACACGACGGCGTCTGAGTGGCTCGGGGCCTTCCTTCAAGTACCTCAACAGCCAATAGCACGAGGAGTTTACTCTCTTGGAAAAGTTAATTGGTTCGAGTATCAACAAGACACGCCCCCTTTCACTGCTAGCGATTAACTCCCAGAACATTATGTATAAAAGCGCTTGTCAATCTTGAATCGGGGTTATCGGTAGTGGCGTGCGTGAAGTGGGTGACGCGGTGACCGAAGCAGACAGACATGCAGTGGGTACGGTACCTCATACTCGCGTCGGTGCTCCTGCTGGCGACGGTGGCGGAGGCAGAGCGGAAGAAATCTGGCAGAGCGAGACATTCGGGAAAGGGGAATAAGAAAAATAGAGACTCTGAGATGCAAAGGGAAGCTGAATACCCTAATGAAACAAAGGCAGCAGAGCAGACCTACCATGAGGCTCACCTCCGTCACCATCGTCTTCCGGCGCCGTCGCCGCCGTACTGTTGCGATCAGTTGGAAATTCGGAAGAACCTTAGAATAGAGCAGATAAAAGATCGTGTTCTTAGAGCCACAGGCCTGCTAACACCTCCTAACATGACCGGTGTAGTGATATCTCAAAATCCCAACATCCAAGGCATTATCGAATCCATGAATACAACAGAACCGCAACCAACTTATATGCAAGAACCACCCTACAATGATGACGAACCGGAAATCAAAACCGAGAAGATCTTTTCTCCAGTAGAACCAGGTAACAACTACACTTCACAATCAGGTAACTAG